CAGTAGCAGTATCAGTAGCAGTAGCAGTAGCAGTAGCAGTAGCAGTAGCAGTATCAGTAGCAGTAGCAGTAGCAGTAGCAGTAGCAGTAGCAGTAGCAGTAGCTATAGCGTCTAATCTGGGTCTCTGCTTATTTAATATTTACAATCACCTTATTTACTCTCCACTCTCCACTACTGCTTTATTATTACATGGAAGAGTGCGGCCTGGACAACACTTGATGTTTGTCGACCTTCAGGTTGAATGAACCAGGCAACGAAACATACCCACCCACACACGCATGCACTCACAGATACACGCACGCACGCACGCACACTCACACACACACACTCACGCGCGCGCGCGCTGCTGCTGCTGTGCGTGTGCGCGCGTGCGTGTGCGTGCGTCTGTACGTGCATGTGCATATGTGAGTGTGTGTCCTGTATGGGTATATGTATTGGCAGATAGCACTATAGCATGCATCCTAGCTCACCGACTAGCATCGCCTTGCTCCGGAACGCGCTCCGTGAATTAATTGCCCTCACAAGCCGCTGTCACTGACCGACGGGTAGTATATATATTGGATACGCTATTCTTCACATAACTAATGCTCTACGGCAGCTAGCGACGTGAAATTACCGCTGGCAGCTGATAAATGATCTAATGATAAACACGAACCTTCGCTAGCTATGGTCGCAAGCCCTTTACTTCCCGCTCCGCAACAAGTTACGTAGGAATTTTTATTAGGAACGCACGCGAGTATTATTTCAATATATTGCGTAATTAACTTACTACCGGTGTGCTGTTATGTTGGCAATTTATCTTATGTTATGTTAGGTTTTATCTTATGTTATGTTAGATTTTATCTTATGTTATGTTAGGTTTTATCTTATGTTATGTTTGGATTTTTTCACAATGAACGTGGATAAGAGGTTCTTTATGGTTTACTAGTAATTTCCTCATCATTCGCAACTGCAATGCATTTCTCACGTGGTTATAATATATGACAACTTGTGAAATTACGAGAGTAAATCTTGTTGCTTGAATGGCTCTCGATCGTTTGTTTAATTATCCGACATGCCTGAGTTATTGGTTTATATGGGAAGCCACGACCATGCCCATGTTATTGCCACGTGACCCCCCCGTAGGGGTCACGTTTTTTTGCAACAGAGATTTCATGCGACTTCGTTGTTATATGTAGGGGAACCCGGGGCAAAGTGGACCAAAGAAATTTGGTTGGCCAAAACGCCGTGAAAGAGCGAGACAAAGTGAAATGTTTGGCTCTAATCCTTTGGCTTAGGACAAGAACTAACAGGCGGT